TCGATGGCGCTAAATGGTTGTCGAGCGATGATATATTGCGATCGTAATATAGCGATCGTATGTGTCGATGGCGCTAAATGGTTGTCGAGCGATGTCACGACAATCCAATAAAATACCAAGAGGAAATGCGTCTGGTCAAATTTAGTCAATTCGAACATATTAAATCTTAATAAACAAAAGAATAAGCAATTAGTGCCATAAATCACAGGATTAACTGACCTAATATCAAACATGACCTAACGGTTGTATTTTCCAAATGGTCAACTTCTGTAACCAACCGGATTTTTAGGTAAACGGTTTATTTTATCGTTTTAAATATGAAAAACAGAAAGGAGAAAAAGGTACGTTTTTCCTGAGAAAAGATTTTATGATTTTCTTCTATTATTGAACTGAAAGAGTTCTACAATTCCCTTTTTTCTGACTTGAGCGTCAGAGTGCCTTCACAGGTACCCATCCCATTCTCCCTGAAACACGTTGACTAGGAAAAGGACATGAAGATAAAGGCATCCTAGGAGGAGAGGATGCAACTCATCAAGTTCATATTTCGGTCCCAACTTTTATACTGAAACATTTTGGCGCCCACCGTGGGGCCGAGATTTGACATCCCCAAAGAAGACCACAAGAGCTATGGGAGACAACAACACTTTAGATTTAATCAGGCAGCTGCAGGCGCAAATCGAAGCACAGGCTGAAACCATACGGGAGCAGCAGGAAATTCAACGTAAACAACAAGAAGAAATAGCGGCGCTGAGAACGCCATGCCCCCCGCCTGAAATATCGGCCTCCAACCACTAGGACGATAATGAAGGCAACCACCATGGAGGACCCTCTAAACCAGCCGGAGGGGGAAGGAGGGGACCCACCTCTCTCCGGCTTACTAATTTGCTTCCCTTTATGGAAGCCATCATGCAGGCCCATATGCCAAAAAAGCCCCCTCCGGTATTAGAACGGTATGACGGTTCAGCGGATCCCGACAATCACCTTCGCAACTTCATTATCTCTTAAAGATGAGGCACTGGAGTGGTATCACACCCTCCCCCAAAATTCGGTTGATTGCTTCGCCACCGTAGAGGCTCTATTTCGTAAACAGTATGCTACTAACCGGAGGCCAAAAATGACCCCCGCTGAGCTTGTCAACACCAAGCAGGGGAAAGATGAAACCCTGAAGGCCTTCATGCAAAGGTACAATGAGACGGCCCGACGTGTGAAGAACGTAAATCACACGTTCATAATCAGTAATCTACCTTCCTGCTTACGTCCAGGGTATTTCGCTGAACAGCTATACGTAGATCCTCCCAAATCCATGGAGGAACTCCAGACAACGATCGCAAATTTTATCCGTATTGAGGACCTCAGGAACTCTCGGAAAAAACAACAGAAAAGTCCGACCAATAATAATAGGAAGGACATAAAACGGTCGTCTAACAACCCTAAAAATGATCGACCCCCTCGAAAAGAGTCAGGATGGACACCCAAGTACGAGCGTTATACGTCGCTCAACGCACCCAGGGCAAAAGTGCTCGAAGAGGCCTTGCATGCTGAACTCCTGACCGTTCGACAAAAGGCTACTCCAAAGAACGCTGACGGCAGTAAAGCCTGTC